GCGATCATCCTTACTAATATTATAAATCGGAAAGTAAGTTTATTTGTTTGTTTGTATGTTCCGCTTTCACGCCGTAACTACTAAACCGTTTGCTTTGAATTTTTGCAGACGTAAAGTTAGAAGTCCGGATTAAATAATAGAGTACTTTTTATCCCGAAAAAATTTGATATTCCTGAGGGGAAACAAAAGTATTGGTATAGATGGCGCTGTGTGTATTGGTATATGTCACAAAGGATACTTTTTATCCACTTGTGATGCGAGCGAAGCCGCGGGTAAAAGCTAGTACATAATAATTCGTTGGTATGTTATAAGAAGATATGAAGATACTAAGCTACCCCTGTCCGTCCATCCGCCCGTCAGTCTGTCTGTCTGTCACCAGGCTGCATTTAATGAACCGTCGGAGATAGACAATTGAAATTTGGATAGATGGTAATTATATGACGGCTGATGGAATACTGGATTGCCTGCTAGTAGATACATCCATACGATCTCCGGCCACCGTAAGCGCGGGCCTGCGGACGGCGAGCATGGGTGGCTCGCCGTCTGACCAGACTCGAGCGTATGGCGCGTTGCGTTTCGCGCGCGCCTCAAAGAGCCATCAGGCAATGATGCCGATTCGGAGTCGCGAAGAACCTAACGGGTTACCGGGGCTCCGACTCGAAGTGCAGGAGTAGGAACAGGGTGGTTTTTAGTAAATAAGAGTCTGACATTCCCTCCCGCCTCACCCAGGCGGGAGCAGTCAGTCGATGATTTTCCCCCCTTAAAAAAAATAGTAAAAAAAGTAGATACATCCATATCTTCTGATAACGAATACATAATAACTAAAAGCGTGTTTTTATTTTTTCAAATACGAATTTATTTTATGGTTTTCTTAGTCTAAAGACTGAGTTCACGTAAAGTAGCATAAGTTACATAATCAGTATTTGTGTAACTAATTCTTGGAATATGTAACGTATGCGTGTGCGTAGGCTGTGACGTCAAGCATGACAAGTTTGTTCCTACCGCTGCTGTTTGCATTTGCGATTTCTATTGGGCAATTTTTATTTTCAACTAGCTGCTGTCCGTGACTTCGTCCGCGTGGAATAGTGACTTCTGGCAGATTTTGGGTTTTACGTGCATTGTTCCCGATCTCATGGGATTTGTGGGAAGCTCTCGCTCCCGTGGGATTCCCGGAATGAAAACTATTCTATGTCCTTTTTTAAAATTAAAATTAAAGTTTCACTCAAATCGGTTCAGGAGTTTAGGCGTGAAGGAGAGACAGACAGACAGACAGACAGAGTTACTTTCGCATTTATAGCATTAGATTGAAATAAAATAAACGCAGAATTTTGATGCTTAAAGCTTACAGCAACACATTAAAACCACTCAAAAACTAATTAATTATTGATTTTCAGCACGCCACTAAACATAATTCCTGGCAATCTTCTTCTTTTACATGTAATAAATCTGTAGAGAAGTCACATCTGTACATGAAATATAAAATCAGTTGTGTCCGCGACTTCATCCGCTTGTTTGTGATTATGGAAGTGGATATTAATAAGGATAAAAATTGCAACAATGCTTCTCTGTACACAATATTATTTGTACTGCCTTCTGGAATCAAAGCATATAAGTTTCTAGGATCGCTCACGCGTAACAAAGCTACTCAAAGCTGACCTTGCGAATGCTGGCCTGACGTTCCTGAGATGCAGTAAGTCTTGCTGCATGATCCTGTTCAGATTCCTGTGATCGAATTAATCTGCTACATTGAGATTAAATTTTTTTTCGGGGCATTCCCACTAACTATGATACAATTATTATATTTACCAATTAAATTATTAGTAGAATTCATTTGCGTCAGCTTGGAGTTGTCATGCTCACTCAAAGGTCTCATTGGCGGTGGCGCGTGCAGTGGATCGCTCGATTCCCTATAAATATGGTTGAGTTGGGCAGTGCTGGTGTACGTGTCATGTTCGTGAACGGGCGCCGTCAACTGGGACTGGTCAGCTCCAGACTGTATTATTGTCCTTAAACTGTCAAACACCAAGCGGTCACCGGTGACCGCAACCAATTATTGTTCTATAATTGTGTTTATAATGACGGTACTTGACGAGTTAAGGTTATTTTCTTTTTTGATCTCTTTGACTGGATTTTAGTGTTACATTGTTCTCGCACAATCCAAACAGCAAAACTATGTATAGTTACATAGTTTTGCTGTTCTACTAGTTCTAGTAAATTGTATAATCTGTTATACATATTGTCTGGACTTTAAAAGAGACAAACTTCTGAGTTTGTTTCGGCATTTCTTCTCAGAGTAGTCAATTAGTAAATGTCGACCTCATCGTTCGCTTGATAAAAATTGACGTGTAAAAGTGCTGCCTTGTAGCCTATTTGCAAAAATAAATTCACTTGTTTCACTTGTTTCACTTGTGAACCTGATTGAAAAAGAAGTAACCTATGGAGTTTCTTGCTCGTTCTTCTCCATAGGAATGTAGATTCCTATAGACCTTGGAATGAGCAAATAGCTTCACGTTTAATTTTTTTTTGTTGACGCTCAAAAGTGCCATTCTGGCCTAATTGAAATAAATGATTTTGACTTTGACTTTGACTTTTTACCTTACGTATGTACGTACGTACATAAGTCAAATTCCTACTACGTAACCTTTTTTTGCTTTTTAGTTTTGACCTTTTGTTTGTTATTAGTTGTTGGTTTTTTGAAATCGGTTTCTTAATAATGATTAATTAATTAATTTATTTATTTATTTATGGATTGGAAAACCAACAGCTACACATAGCAAACAAACAGATAACATAGCCAATTATAGGCAAGCCACCAGAGAGCCAATTATAGGTTTTCACGGACAGATTTCACATTATTCAATTAAAAACACACAGTCACAGTCCAAACAAATACATCGTTTAGGGAAAGAAAACTAATAAAAAAAAAAAACAACAAGAGCATGTACCAACTAAATAAAAACATAAAAATTAAACACACACCAACCATACTACCAACAATAACAAATTAATAATAAACCAAGTTACCCACTTAATTCATTGATCAATTAAAAAACTGTAGGGTGAGCATCCTTCGCACCGCAGAAGTCCGCGTCACAAACGGATCTATTGGATACTCCTTACACAAGTTGTTTAAGTCTCTGCTTGCACGCATAATAAAGGAATTCTGCCTATACCTCGTTGAGGAATTCCGAATTAAAAGTTAATGTGATGACAATTTACCCAAAACAAAGACTAAATGTTAATCCCAAACCGCAATTCAATAGTGAAAACCGCAATTAGGCTAAGCCGTTTTTAAGATTAGCCCGAACAAACGAAAAAAACAAACAGACAAACATTCTAAAAATTATTGCTTTTTTGGTTCTATTGTGTATATAAAGTTCCCCTAATAAAGTTTTTCTCATTCATTTATCTTTCATGTACAGACACCGACCTTTTACAATTTTATTATATAATAGTACCTATGTATTTTTCGGAGCCGGTCATGAGTTTGGATGCTAAATGGACGCAAGCGCGCCACCTAGCGGATATATATTTTTTTTTTTTTAAACGTTGCCCCACACTAGGATTTTCTCCTGTATCGTGGGGGCGTTTACAAACATACAAGTTCACATACACAGTGACACCCAGACCCGAAACAACAATTTGTGGATCACACAAAGTGTTATTCCGTGCGGGAATCGAACCCGCGGCACGTTGCACGGCAGCCGGTTGCCCAGCCACCGCACCAACCGTGCAGATATCTGGTACGCTTAGGCAGAGTCGTGGCGTCAGAGTCGCACTCGGCGGAGCGCCGGAGCTCACTTCTAGTCGAGTCGCCACCGAGTGAAGACGTTGTCACGGAACTGCCCTACGTTTCGCTTAGTGGCCAGTACCTTGTGATTATAAGTAACTAAATGCTTTTCCTATTTACACGATACTCAAATTCACCCACATTATGTCTGAGCAAACGGAACATAATCCTGCCTCCTCCGACATCAGAAGAGGGATGAGTGTTACCGCCTTCGACATATTGATAAACTGCGTTAAGAAACCTACTCCAAAAGTAAATTAAAAAGGATCATCTTAAAAAAACCGCTTCATTAATAAGATATAGGAAATAAAAAAACATATAGGAATTTAATGTTAGTGCTAAGGCCGGTAACGCACTTGAAATGCCTCGGTGTTTCAGGTGTCCATGGGCGGCGACGATTGCTTACCATCAGGTGAGTCGTCTGCTCGTTTACTGGCTTATAATATAGCCTTTTATTCAGATCCTTAACTTACATTACGTTACACTTACATTTAAAAGCAACTTAAAGTTAAAAATTTATCTATTATTTGTTGTTTGGTGATCATTTGCAGATCTGTTTGCCAATCGGCAAAGGCCTCCTCCAACCTTTTCCATTCTGTCCTTACTTGAGCCACTCTGTTCCACGTCACACCTGCCAACTCTTTGATGTCATCGTCCCATCGTTTCTGCGGTCTCCCTCTCTTCCTTTTCCCTTCCCTTGGGCACCATACTGTTACTTTCTTACTCCATTTATCGTGACCTCTTATGATGTGGCCAGCCCATCTCCATTTGAGTCTTTTGATTTTCAGTGTAACATCTGTGGTTTTAGTTTTATTTCTAATGATATTGTTTTTTACTCTGTCAGACCTCTTGATACTCAGCATACTCCTCTCCATAGCGTGTTGGCAGGTTGTAAGTTGGCTTGTCAATTCCTGAGTTATAGTCCATGATTGGCAGCCATTATGTAAGAACAGGTAGTATGCAAGCATTGAACAGTTTTCTTTTGATGGTGATATGAAGTGTTTTGTTTTTCATAATTTCTTTAAAGCTCCAATATCTTCTCCATCCGTTTATAATTGTTCTTTTACTGGCTTATATCATAAAAAAAACAAAGAACTTAGATTTAAAATGTAAATATATATAAATTGTAGCATATTTATAAAATAAAACATTTCTTTTTATTATAATTTCATTTAATTACAATGTCGAACACAATATTATATTATTATATACCCTTAAAATTTAACCTAACCTACCTGCGGTGGTGGCGCGGTGACTAGCTCGTATTTACATACATCCATCACAACGTGCCGATATTCTGTAAATATAATATCAATTATTTATAATATCAAATAGAGTAAATTAAATATCAATTATTTTCCAGTATTATAAATTAATAATATATAAGTTTATGAGCGAGTTTAGAAATAGAAATAGAAATAGAAATTTATTCGCAGGAACATGTGATACAATGGATCTTAGTCTAATTTTCAACAGTACAGTGTATTCCACCTTTTCCAGGCATGCAAATGTTTGTTTATAGTAGGCACTTTATATAATATAGAATATAAATCCAATTTCATTGATTAATTATTACGTAATGTCAAAATAATGATTCCAAAATGTCAAATTATTTTTTTAAATACATGTCAAGGCAAAATACATTATGTCAAATACATTATGTCTGTAAAATTACATGTCATAATATTAAAATCTATTTCGTTCTACAATTCCATAGTCAATGAAGTCTTTAATACTGTAAAAACATTTTTCAATTAGCCATGCTTTCAACTTAATTCTAAATTGACGCAAAGGTAGTTCTCTAATAGATCGAGGAATTTTATTATATACTCTAATTGCCATTATTGCACAATTCTTGCCATAAAGAGTACTGCGACAATTATCCATTTTTAGTTTGGATGCATCTCGTTGTAAATGCTTACTATCTTCATTCACTCTATTAAACAAGTTATAATTTCTTACAAACATACCAATCTCAAAATCAACTCAATCGTTTGTGTGTATGTTTGTTCCCAACCACATTATGTATAAACAGGTCAAGGTACCGGGTCAATATTTGGCATAGGGGTAGACTATGGACGGAAATAATATATGGGCAGCTTATTGTCCCACAAGACAGACGAAACCGTTGGCAGAAGCTAGTTGAATAAGAAAGTAAAATTTATTGAGCTAGCTACTAAGATTCAACCCACTACGATTAATTGACAATTCAATCTTTCATTCTTTACTAGGATAAAAGTTCTTAAAAAAGATTTTATCTTTAAAAACTAGTTGAAACTACTTACGTTTCTTCTCATCACAGTTATACTCGTTGAGGTCACAGATATCGACAAACATTCTGGTGATACCCAAATTATCCTGACCACAGATTACTACGAAATCGTGCAGGCACTGATCCGCAAAGGCGCAGTAGTTTATTACCTATGGAGGAATAAAATACTAGTTTTATGTAACGTTTTCCAGCGACCAGTTTCAATAGTGTGTCTATCTGTAGATTTACTTAATACTATAATGAAATTTTGACACATTGCATGCAACCATTCTCATCATATCAAAACTTCAATGTTTAAGTAAGCAAATCTAAAAATAGATGGGTTATTTGATCTGTTAGTAAAAAGCAGAAAAGAATGAACAGATGAACACATGTAGACCTACTGCAATTTTTAGATACTAACGTTCAGGAATTGTATACCTCTGGGTCTGCCTAGAACTCTACGTCACTACGTTTGTCAACACGGAAAGGTGCGGAAAAGTGGCATGGCAAGTGGACGTAACGCAAAAATTCACGTTAACTTAACGTTAAATACGCAACGTAAGGTCAGGACAGGTGGGCGCCCTGCGTACACTCTGTCCTCGTACCGGTCCATTATGCTGCTCGACGAGATGAGATGGGAAAAATTTCGAATTAATCATTTCAAATCGACTTGTTGCAAATCTGGTCCAGAATTGGGCTGGACCTCGCTGTTGGCCAGTACATCTTTCGCTAAGGGGTCGGCACCGTGGACGCTATCATGTGCGTAAGGGTCCTCACGACGGGAATTGCAGTCCAGGGGTACGGTCGTCATGGCGGTGTCTTTGGACATCGCCAATGCCTTCAACTCCCTGCCCTGAAGCTGCATTTTGGAGGTATACCGATATCATCGTCGTCATCTACCTATCTCATCCTGTCCTGTCCGTCATATACCCCGGTCACCAAGATAAGTTGGCGAGAAATGTCGCGCGGTATTCCACTGGGTTTGGTCGGTTACGACTGGCTGCTGTGCGCCGACCTCCTGAATGGCGTCATCGTGGTCTGTTACACTGACGACACGCTGGTGCTAGCACACTAGTGTGGGCGCCGAATCAGATTTGGCAGCCGGCTTAACCGCTGCTCACGTTCTAGAAGGTCATGGCCATTCAGGTGATTCGTGGATATAACACGATCTCCAGGTAGGCGGTGAACCTCCTTGCCGGACTACCGCCAAAGGATCTGGAGGTGAAGGTGCTAGCGCGCGAGTTTAGATTGCACGCAGAGGCGTGCGATCCCACGATGTCGTTACGTGGAGATGTGGACAGGCTCTTACATCATTCTGAACTCTAATTCATGAGGTTCACCCTCAAGTGCATCATATTTATACCCAGAACGGCTAAAACAACTCTTGGAATTAAAAATTAGTATGAACAATTAAGACTGTAAATTAAAAAGGTTATTTTTAGTGTAAGCGGAAGACGAGAAAATTATACCACAGCCGTTTGTATTTTAAGTATTTATAAAAATCTAGAAAGTCAGTTACCGGTTCTAATGGAAAGTAGAAATCTTCGGTTTCTATATCAAGATGCGACCAGACTTCAGCAGCTAACCCGATTATTATTAGGCCTAAAAGGAGGAAAATATTAATAGAATAGGAATGCAATGAATTTTGACTATTAAAAACTTTTAATTTCAGCATACATAAACAATATCGAAGTCCATCGTCGTACAATAGTATAGCGCGAAGACTATTAGGTTTTTGATTTCCAAAACTCTTTACCATTTTTAGTTTTGTTTGACACAATTAAAATACTCAGGTTATATTTTAGTCATGCTTGTGAAATATCGGCTTAAACACGAGTTGCTCTACATGAGCATTGATTTCATGATATCATCGCCCACCGTCTCTCATTCATCATCATCATCATCCTATAAATGCCCACTGCTGAGCAAAGCCTCTTCTCACACGGAGAAGGTTTAAGCATTAATCACCACGGTTGCTCAATGCGGGTTGGACTTATAATTCGAAATTATAAGACCAGCTTTCCTCACAATGTTTTTCTTCGCCGTTTGTCAGTGGTGTCTAGATAATTTTAGAAACTACATATAACTCAGAAAAGTCACATTGGTATTTGCCGTTGATAGGTTTCGAACTCGCACCCTCATGCATGAGAAACCTCCGGGCCACCACGACACCACTCTCTCTCTCATTCACTTCACTCATAACTACAAGCCCTAAATGCGCCTTGAAAGTAGTCGACCACCCTCAAAATAACTATATAAAGTTATCATCAAAAGAATTGATTTTATTAGATTGATATATTTCTAAAACAATGATAGAACAAAGATACTTACTAGTAACAACTTTTCTAACTATCATTATGCACGATCACTTCGACGGATAAACAACAATGGTCTAGTAGAACAATAACCACATTTGTTTACTTTAGGAAATTAAACTATGAATATCGAACAGGAAATTATTAATGTACACACAAAATATTGAACCTAATGTGGAATGTTTGATATTTTACAGAGGAGAACAACTTTGGGACCTGAGAAAGTAAATCTCTTTGAATTATTTTTTGTCTTTATTTTGATCTCTTAGTCCTCAGAAGAGTTATTTGTTTCCTTCTTAACACAAAACAAGGTATTTATTTCAAGGCTTCAAGACGAATTTAAGAGAGTTGCTTATTTTAAAAGTCAGTAGACCTGTATGGCCGTCGGTAGCGTATCTGCATTGAAGGTTATCTTTTTGGTCTGTTATAGATAGAACGAACGTTATAGATAGAACGAACGTTATAGATAGAACGAACGTTATAGATAGAACGGCGTTCTCTCTTATCTACTCATTGCAATAATTCTAAATTCTATTTCTAACGAGCTTCTGTTTATCATCCTTCCATATGTATGCTGACTAGTAGTTCATAGGTGACCCTCGTGAGTTCTGTGAAGTCGCAAGTCATCATCAATAGATTAAGTTCAAAGATTTCACTGACTATTATAAATGGTTGCATATAGTATAGCTCTCTGATGATAGCGGATTTGAGGAACTTTATAGAGAAAACTTTTTGTGGGGGTAAAGTTGCGAGAGACATTCGCAAAATGTTTGAAATACTACGGAACTTTCAGCCAACTGCTCCCAAGATTGAATCTCACTCGCGCAATCACTGATCCTCGATTATGCTGATGCCAGCTACCTTAATCATACTGAGCAGTTAGATGAAACTTAAAAAATCTAAAATTTCAGTGCAACGATAACGGAAATAATGACCACGTTACCAAATATCTCAATAAACTCAAGTGGCGGCCAATCCGCCTTTGCTGGAATATTCAATTTTATCTCTACTTTACGACATAGATACTTCTCAATCTTTTCAAAAAGGATAACCCTTTTCAAGTTCCCTCTTGACAAACATTCAAAATCATTTATACCTCAGTGATCTTGAATCGAGGAATCTGAGTATGGAGATGACTCAACATTTTTTTAAATATATATAATATCCTACAAGTCGCTTGATTGTAGAATGGACTGCTAGTTTCAAAAAATCAAGAAGCATTGTCTTTCTTCTTTACAACGTTCTTTCTGAATTTATTTTTCTATTAAGAGTGGTTCATTAGATTATACGTTTGAAGAGTTTATAGTTATAGTGGCGTGGAGGTTTAAGACACCAGCTTTTCATGCACTAATGTGACTTTTTCGAGTTACGTGTACTGTCTAACATTATTTAGACACCACTGACAAATGGTAAAGGAAAATATCGTGAGGAAACCCGGACTTATAATTTCTAATTATAAGTTTGAAATTACCAACCTGCATTGAGCAAGCGTGGTGATTAATACTCAAACCTTCTCCGTGTGAGAAGACGCCTTTACTCAGCAGTGGGCACTTATAGGCTGTTGACGATGATGAAAATGATATATTTGTGTAAGTATGTATGAATGTATGCCGTGTGGTTCTGGTCATTCACCAACTGGATGGACCGATTAAGTGAGGCATCGTCCTCCAAGAAACTACCCGATCATGAGAGACGTGCTGGATCGGAACCGGCGGAGGTAGATCATCCGCTCCAAATAACTCAGAGTTGCTGAATACGATTCTCAGTTATGAGAGACCGATTACAGATAGGGATGTAAGTATATACCCATAGAAGAGTTAATTGGTGCATAGAACACACATCAACATAACTGTCATGTTTTTTTTTACACAAACCTATTTTCTGCACCAGTTACTGCTGATTTCTCTACTTATACCTTTTTTTCGAGGGGGGAAAATCATGCAATGAATTCTCCCGCCCGGGTAGGGTGAGAGGGAGCGTCAGACTCTTGATTACTGTCTAAAAACCACCCCGATCCTACTCCTGCATTTGGAAATGGAACCCCAGCAACCCGTTAAGTCCTCTGGGGCTCCGTTCTCTAATTGATCCTAAGGCAGAGAGTGTCATATATTTTTTATGTAATAGGTAGGTGCCTGGCCGCTCATAAGTAAACTATTCACTTGAGGCTCGATGACTGGTTGTACGACTGACGAGAAAACTTAAAGGGAAACGCTTCGTTCGGGTGGGAGGAACATTTGCCATATAACGGTCACATTATATGTTTTCAATTGACTGACTTCACGCTTGGCGTGGTGGTTAGGCAACCCGATGCCGCGCAATATGTCGTGGGTTCGATTCCCGCACCGAACAACTCTTTGTCTGATCCACAGGTTGTTGGTCCGGGTTAGGGTTGAAATGCGTATGTGAACTTGTATGTTTGTAAAAGCACCCACGACACAGGAGAAAATCCTAGTTTGGGGCAAAGATTTAAAAAAAATAATAAGTCAGTAAGAAATATTATATTTATTTGTAAGTTTTTTTTTCGAGTTCACAATGTTAAATATTATTCCTAAGAACAAAATTATGAATGTATGCGATATGTACCATAAATAGAGTATAATTTAAGAAAATGGAAAAAAAACTGCATAAGGTCTACGCAGACACAGTTGCAGCCAGAACCTGGTAGTTAATATTGACGTGTAAAAGTGCCACTAATTTTGTTGCTTATGATTACAATAATAAACAAAATTGGAGTTCTTAACAGTATAATTTCATTTAACTAGTGACGAGCATTATAACAACATAATGATATTATATTATCATAATCTCTTAAGAATCCACTTTACACATATCCATCTTCACATGCCGATATTCTGCGAATAAAGAAAATAAAAAAAATATTTAATATAAAAAATTTTTAAGTAATCCATAATAAAATAGTTTTATACGTCCAATTGTATGGCGCTTGGCCACCGTCATGTGGTGGTAAGCGACGATGTGACCGACGATGGAGCACGCCTACCAATGAGCACACACACACACACACACTTTCATACAAACACACTCAAACATATGCACATACATACACACACAATTTCATACAAACACATACATTTATTTTTGTTTTTAAGAAGTTTACTTTTATTTTCTTTTTGTTTGTAATCTATACTTATACAGTGAAACCTGATTAAGTGAGACATCAAGGGACCTGCAATGTCGTTTCACTTAAAGAGGTATTCCACTTACCCAGTGTCTCAGATATACAGGTATAAATAAATATCTGTCTCATTTACAGAGGGTTCGATTAATAGAGGTGAACTTGGAATTACATGTGGAATTTGTGGGTAGAATAAGAATGAGTAAACAAACAATGTTATCTCAGTTACAGAGGTTTATGCATATAAAATTTACTCGCTGTCTCAGTTATAGACGTAACTATGATGATAAATCGAAAGAATAAATCCCAGATATAAAGGTTTACCTCGTCCCACTAACAGAGGTAATTCAGTGCCAAAGTGTTGGGATCTCAGCATGAGTTCCAGTTATGGAGGTTTCTCACTTATCCACGTCCCACTTAACCAAGTTTTACTGTATTATAAAGAGGAAAGATTTGTACCTATTTTTGTGTGTTTGTAATGAATAGGCTCAAAAAGTAGGTACTGGGCCGATTTAAAAAATTCTTTCACCAATAGAGTGCTACATTCTTCCAATTTGACATAGGCTACATTTCATTTTGAAAAACATTAGGAATCCTTGGTAAAATTTGAACAATGTAACCGAAGGTGTAGGAAAATAAGTCTTAAAATGTTTTCCGTCGAATGTGCTGCCGAAACTGTTAGCGATAGAACAAAATAATGTACAACAATATTGAAGAACATTATAATGTCTACAAAAAACTCCGCAGTAGCATATGTCCAAATATTGTAGTTACGTCACTACAACAATCCAAATTTCCAAAAATAAATAATTGTTTACCCCGTGCGAAGCCGGGACGGGCTGCTAGTTCTATTATAAAATTTGGACGTTTGTTTTTCCTTTGTAATTTTAATTATATAAAGTCTATATCTGAGAGGGAATAGCCAGGAGCCTGAGAGGGCGAGAACAGTAATTTGATGACTGGATGACTTTACCCTCAAAAAACTGAATGTCGAAGGCATTTTGTAGGAGATAGATGTACCTATATCGAACGCTAACCACCTCGAGCTCCTGCCCGACGGGACCAGTCCCCCATTACTTGTTGCTTATAAAACATTTAAATAATGATTCTATAATCATTCCCTCTGCCTCCCTTGACTGCCTCGAATATTTCGCTTTCATGCTCAGTTGAGAGAAATAATTTCAAAGGGAAAAATGTGTACTATTCAATAAATAGGTTTTTGAATTATACCAATATTTTCTTTTATTGCTCGATAATAAG